GGCCACTGAGACCGCATTGATTGTGTTGGCTGAGAAATTGAACTCTTTCAACGTTAACAAAGCTGGATTGGATCGCCGTTCGGCTGCTATTGCTTGCCGTGGTGAGATCGAGACGAAATGGAAGAAGGAATTCACCCTCGAGTTCTCACGTGATCGTAAATCTATGTCCTCGTACTGTACACCACTGAAGGCTTCTCGCCTGGGTACTGGTCCAAAACTGTTCGTCAAGGGCGCCCCAGAAGGTGTGTTGGAACGTTGCACGCATGCTCGTGTTGGCACCAGCAAGGTGCCACTGACGTCTGCCCTGAAGGCTAAGATCTTGAATCTGACTGGACAGTATGGTACTGGACGCGATACCCTGCGTTGCTTGGCCCTTGCCGTTGCGGACAGCCCAATGCGTCCTGATGAGATGGATTTGGGTGATTCGTCTAAGTTCTATCAGTATGAAGTTAACCTGACCTTTGTTGGCGTCGTTGGCATGTTGGATCCTCCACGTAAGGAAGTCACGGATGCCATTGTTCGTTGCCGTGCCGCCGGTATTCGTGTTATTGTTATCACTGGTGATAACAAGGCTACTGCCGAAGCTATCTGCCGTCGTATTGGTGTATTCGCTGAGGATGAGGACACCACTGGAAAGTCGTACTCTGGACGTGAATTTGATGATCTGTCACCTGCTGAACAAAAGGCCGCCGTTGCTCGTTCCCGCCTGTTCTCGCGCGTGGAACCCCAGCACAAATCCAAGATTGTTGAATTCTTGCAGGGCATGAATGAAATCTCCGCCATGACAGGTGATGGTGTCAATGACGCTCCAGCTCTGAAGAAGGCTGAAATTGGTATTGCCATGGGCTCTGGTACTGCAGTGGCCAAATCTGCCGCCGAAATGGTGTTGGCAGATGACAACTTCTCTTCCATTGTGTCCGCTGTTGAAGAAGGTCGCGCTATTTATAACAACATGAAACAGTTCATCCGTTATCTGATTTCATCCAACATCGGTGAAGTTGTTTCCATTTTCTTGACGGCTGCTCTTGGTTTGCCCGAAGCTTTGATTCCCGTTCAGCTCTTGTGGGTTAACTTGGTAAGTTTTATACCATATAAACGCCGTTCGCTTTAAGAAATATGTTTTTGGCACTTTTGAATTAGGTCACTGATGGTCTGCCAGCTACAGCTCTTGGCTTCAACCCACCTGATTTGGATATCATGGAGAAACCACCAAGGAAAGCCGATGAAGGTTTAATCTCAGGATGGCTGTTCTTCCGGTGAGACATCTTTTTAGTAGTCAGATTATATGAAGCAGCAGCTGCCAATTAGCAGTTAAATTCGACATTCTCTTAAACTCCATTGTACATGCTGCTCAGCTGCTGCCTCGTTTAATTTTCTGCAACATGTTCTAGAAAATTTGCTAATAATTTTCATTTTTACGTTTAGTTACATGGCTATTGGTTTCTACGTTGGTGCAGCTACTGTTGGTGCTGCTGCCTGGTGGTTCATCTTCTCTGCTGAAGGCCCCAATCTAACCTACTGGCAACTGACTCATCATCTTTCCTGCTTGGGAGGCGGAGACGAATTTAAGGGTGTCGATTGCAAGATCTTCAGCGATCCACATGCCATGACCATGGCCTTATCCGTGCTTGTTACCATTGAAATGTTGAACGCCATGAACAGGTTTGTGTCCTCATAACGAAATCACTTGCAAAACTTAAATATTAATTTTGATTCTCATTCAGCTTATCCGAGAACCAGTCCCTCATCACAATGCCTCCATGGTGCAATCTGTGGCTGATTGGTTCGATGGCACTTTCTTTCACTCTTCACTTTGTCATTCTATACGTTGAAGTCCTCTCTGTAAGTAGATTTATAAATCCGCAAAAAGCAAACAAGGATATAATTCTATGTGAAATTGTGTTTTCTAATCTATTTTATTTAGACCGTTTTCCAAGTAACACCGTTGTCTGCGGAGGAATGGATAACTGTGATGAAATTCTCAATTCCTGTAGTTTTATTAGATGAAACATTGAAGTTTGTTGCTAGAAAAATTGCAGATGGTGAGAGTCCTATATATAAGATGCATGGGATTGTGTTAATGTGGGCTGTCTTCTTTGGCCTGCTGTACGCTATGATGCTTTAAGAATATATTTATAACATTAAGCCCAACATCATTATTCTAATTACTAGCATAAAGTGTTACTAAATATAAATAGAGAGAAATACCTAAAGTAACGACTTTAACCAAAACACCACATAGACTTATTTCCGAATACTAAACAAATTCACGCGTGATATTTTGATAAGAGAAATTTACTCGTTAATGTACACAACAACAACACCGTGAAATGGTCAATAGATTAATTTATAACGATTATTTGAAACGTAAACATTTACATTTTGTTTCAATACGTTCTATCTATCTACGGCATTGCTGATTTTGTACATACAAACAACGCGGATTGCAGAATGTGTGAAACATAACGATATAAAAAATATATATAGGTTTCAGATTTCTCTTTCAAACATTTTTCGAGAGCATTCAAGTCAAAATTGATTTTTACTATAATTATTATTTGATTATTCAAAGATTATATTTTCAATCATTAAAATTCTCTTGTGGATGATGTGCAAAGCAAATTGGAATAAATATTTCAAATAATTAATATATTCTATGAGCGTTGAATACGTAAATTTTTGTAAATATTTCATGAATGAGGAGACATTAAAACTAAATAAAACCAAGAAAAAAATCACAATTTGAATAGATAAATCCCATATACACATATTTATATTATCCATACTTAATTTTTTTCATCTAGAATTTTGTGGATGAAATTGAGGATATATATATATATTTTGTATTGAATTTATTTATGTATTAAGTAGACTTAATTCAGTCAGACTTCGGTTTAAAAGTTAAAATTAAAATTGGTTCATGCATTCCATAGAATAACAAAAGAAAAAAAAAAGTTTAGTCTTCGAGAAGCATGAAATAAATCATTTGACTTATATAGATAACAATTAACAAAAGAAAAGAACAATTATTGAGTGTGTTTAA